AGCCACCGCGCCCAGCCAGCTTCTTGAATCTTTAGGCTATATTTTCCACCATATATGGGGATCTTTCTGTCATTCTTCTTCTTTTTTTTTTTTTTTTTTTTGTGAGGCAGGGTCTCACTTTGTTACCCAGGCTGGAATGCAGTGGCACAACATGACTCACTGCAGCCTTGACCTCCCAGTCTCAAGCAATCCTCTCACCTCAGCCACCAGAGTAGCTGGAATTACAGGCATTTACCACCACGCCCAGCTAATTTTTGTATTTTTGTAGAGACAGGGTCTCGCCATGTTGCCCAGGCTGGCCTTGAACTCCTGAACTCAAGTGATGTGCCCGCCTCAGCCTCCCAAAGTGCTGGGATTGCAGGTATGTGCCATTGTGCCAGGCCTCATTATTTCTTTAATTTTTTTTTTTTTTTCCTGCACTGCATTCTTTCTTCCCCTCCTCTGGAATATGAGTGACATGAATGTTAGAGCTCTTGGTATTGTTGCACAGGTTCCCAAGGCTCTTTCCTCCCGCCCACAATAATTTTTCTCTCTGTTGTTCACATTGGATACTTTCTATTGATCTGTCTTCAAGTTCACTGGCTCTTTCTTGTGTCAAATTCATTCTGCTGTTGAATTCATCCCCTGAGATTTTATTTCAGTTATTGTATTTTTCTGTTCTGGAATTCCCGTTTGTTCCTTATGCTTCCTATTTCTTTGCTGAGACTTTCTATCTTGTCCTTGGTTTCAAGCATGTCCACCTTCACTTCATGGATTATTTTGTAATAGTTGCTCTTAAGTCTTTGCCAAAAATTTCAACACCTGTATCACGCCGACATTGGCATCTGTTAATTGTCTTTTTCCCATGTAAGTTGGGATTTTCCTGATTCTTCATATGCTCAGTAGTTTGGGATCGTATCCTGAAAATTTGAATATTATAAGGCTGAGTTTTGTTTAAATACTGGATAATGTCGATATATTTGTTTTAACAGGCAGTTATCTTGGTCGGGTCCAGGCCTCAAGTTCCCACCAACCTCCTGTGGGTTGTCATTTCCATGTCAGCTCTGTTTTCAAAGCCTTTGTAGGGGTTTCACCTCTGTCCTATGTATATCCCACCTAGTAGCCGGTCTGGGGCTTGGGCAGAGGTCTGTCGGTTAGCTCCAGAGGTCCGTCTCTTAGCTCAGCTCTCAAAGTCTTTGCTGGACCAGCCAGGATCAGATCCACACATGTACAGTTCTAGAGTGAGCCCAGGTGCTTTACAAACTCTTTAATGGGGCTGCCTTCCCAAGCTACTTCTTCTCCCCAGTTTCCCCAGTATTATCCAGTTCCCTGAGGTTTTTCAATCTATGGCCAGAAAATCTGAGCTTTTACCCCTGCTTTGCCTATGCTCTGCTGCACACTTCCTGTGCCTGTGCCTGAGTCCAAGGCCAAGCTGCGGGAAGAGAGCGACAGAAATAGTCAATGAGGATTCACCTCACTCTGTGGAGGCCACTGCCCGAGATGGGAGAGGAAATTTCCGTTTTCACAGAGTTCTGGGTGCCTTCAGGCCCCCGCTGTGGCTTCTAGCATCTTAGTGGGATTACTTGGGAGGGAATGCAAGAATGGAGAAAGGAAAAAAAAAGGAGGAAAAGTGGGGATTTCCTCTACTCTCCCTGAGCATCAGGAGACGCCCTGCCTCCTGGAGCCTGAACTGCAGGGCTGCTCCTGGTGCTTCCTGGCTGCGCCAGTGCCCACTACCGGTGCCAGGCAGCCTAGAGTAGGGGCGGGCAGGATACCAGAAGGAAAAGCAATGATGACCTGGCTCCTAGTTTCGAGGTACTTTGAATTCTGGTCTTCTTCTCCAATCTGCCCGCTACTGTTTACTTTTCAGATTCCTCAAATAACCGCTCTGTGCATTCTGTCCAGGTTTTGCTTCTGCATTCCGTGGGAGGCGCGGGGTGGGAGTATGGTTACCCAGAACGGAAACTGAGATCCTTTGTTTTTAAATGAAATTTTTGCATGGGTTACCTGAATTTTAAACATCACTGCACAATGTATGACTGATTCTTGCTCTTTCTGAAGCAGGGCCGGGTCTGAGAAACAGTCCACTTACAGGAGACTGCTGAGGGGAAGGCACGTGAGCTGCACCTGGCACTCCCCCCGCAGCCTTTAGAAGCCCTGGGCACACACTGAGGGCGTTACAGAAATGTAACAGCAGTGCTCACAGCCTCAGCCAGGGCTGGAGTCATGTTCTGTCCAGATACCATTTTGTGCCTCTCCCTCCCCCAACTACTCCCACCCCCACCCCCTCTAAAAAGGAATAAACAATTTCCTTCAGTCATTGTTTCCTGCCCACTAACAGATGCTCTTAATTAGCACAAAATTGCAGCAAAATTGCTAAATAAATCTATTTTACTTGTTTTGGATTTGTTTCTCCCAGAAAGCTTAGGCTTCTCCATCATCAACACATCAACACACACTCACTCTATTGTTGAGTTGGAGTCAAGGACTCACAACTTAGTTCCTTGTTCGTTTCCACGCACACAACTGTGATGCACAGAATTGATGGTTAGCCATCTTTCCCAGCAGAGAACTGCTGGTTTTGAAACCCTTCAGGAGCTCACTAGGGGTAGGAACATGCATTTGGGAGTATTGAAACTTTATAAAAAATATCCCAAACACTCTATCCGTTATCTATCGTGATAAAGAAACTGATCATTGACATTAGTCATCATATAATTTCATCCTCCAAAGGATTGTAGCCTTGAAACACAGAGCAATGGAGCATTAGAAGCATCCTTGTGGTTTATTTTATACAAAAAATGTAGAAACATGCTTGTAAAACTGATGGTGGCACTATTTTTTGGTGATTTCTGCATGGCTGCCTAAGGTCATTCATGGGTGTGAGGATATGGTCTGTGAAGGAGGAAGCTGCTGTTCCAAATTTTAAAACAAAGAAAGCTTTTGCACAATACCGAATCGATAGCTCTCTTTTCTAGGTCATGAGTGGGCCTGCTTTTTTTCCTGTAAAATTTTTAAATGCTACAAGTTTTGCTTGAGGCTCATGGTCTTGAATTAATATATTTCTATTATGTGCACAAGTGTAAGCTGGTAAGCAAAGGAGTATTTTAAAAGATTGCTTTTTTTTGGCATTATCTTTTAGGAGTAAAATCTTGGAATTCAGTTTCATGGCTTGAGAGAATCATTTTCTTTTTTTCAAGAAACGAAACTTTATGCTGAGATCACAAGTGGTAAAAATATCCCAAAGCCTCATGGCTGTGCTTGTTGCAGTCTTTTTGAGTCAAATCCATTATCTCCATGCACTGAGTGACTCAGTGATCACTTTTTACCCTTCAGAAAGTAGAATCTCAGATACCTGCAAAATAGCCACTAAATAACATGAGCTAGTCGTGTATGGAATCTTCTGCTGTCCTTAATCTGAATTTTTGAAATTTTTTTCTAGTAATGAAAACATTTGCCTCTCATTAGAAGAAGCCTTCTCACTTTTCAATGCACATCTTCTGGACAAGGTGCCAGATAAGGCCTTTGCAAAACTGAAAGGAGGCTCCTTCCTTACCTTGGAAATCAGGACCACGCCTGCCCTGAGAAATGCTTATCTGAGGTGGGGCAGGCCTCTTCGTATGAATGCCCTGGTGGTTAGAAATAGAGGGGGTCCCCATTCCTGCAGGAGCTGGGGAACAAAGCTGCTTCTGTGTGGCAACTCATTGTAATACTCCATTTGACATTTCAGCTCAGGCCTGCTGGGGACAGACAAACAGACCAATCCAAAATGATGGTATTTCCAGCCACCTCTGCTTAAACTGCTCCTTTACCTGTCTGAAGAGGAAGTACAGGTGGCAGGCAGGATTGGGAATCCACGTTCTCACCTCCTGGGAGCAATGGGGGTGGCATTGTTATGGCCACTTGATATTTGAAGCATGTGGATGACAGGCATTTAATGTACCCTGGCATTTAGGGAATTGTTTGGAGTAAAATCACATTGATTAAAAAAAGCTTTTAAAAAGGGAAAAATGATTTTTGTCCTTTTCTATTTAACCTGCCATTGATGTTTTAAGGTGCTCAGAGAATTCTCTTTGTGGGAATTTGGGAAGGACAAATGTTGATTTGTACACTAGAGAATTAAGACAATGATAATTGAAAGAGATGATAAAAGCTAGTGGTTTCCATGGGGAAATAATCACAAACTGCTGTCAGACTGATTCCAATAAGAACATTGCTTTATGTGAAATGTTTTTTAAACAGCTCAACCAAAGCATTAAGCCAGAGCACTTCTGAGGGCATCTATTTGCGGTGTTTCTATTATATGCCCATCTGAGACTCCTCAACTTAACATTATTCACTGTTCCAACTGCTGTGCTTAGCTCCTTTGTGGTCAACACTCAGTTGGAAATGACAAATATTAGGTGGCAAGAAGAATACTATTTGAGGACCCTTAAGATAATTCTATAGTTTCACCATATTGATTTACCATATGGATTCTAAATTATTGATCTGTGAAGTTACTTTTGTGTGTTAGCCCAGGTTAAATGCTACTACTGTGTTTAAGGTGTCTCTTTAATAATGCTGGAAAGACCTTTGATGTGCTTTTGGGCTTCTAGCAGTGGAGACTGCCTCCCACGCTCTGCCTTTGTATTTTCAGGCATTTATTTTGGAGTAATACTCAGGCGCTGCGCCTTTTTGTGCTCCCAGTGTTCCCCGTAGAGATCTCTGTGAGAGCCCCTATAACCTTTTTGGCATTTATTGGTTTACACAGCTGTGGCCTATATTAAATTGTAACACAGAGCCTGGCATGTGGCACAAATGCCCACTGAATGAATGAATGACTCCTTGATCAAGTCTCACTGCTTCTTTCCAAAGAATGCTGGAACAAGAAACCTTCCATTTGCCCCTGCTGGCCCAACCTCCACTCTGCTCCACCCCAGGAGGCTGACGTGCAGGGATCAAGCACAGCTTCACTCTTCCCTGCCTTTCCTTTGAGTTTGGTCAACAGGAGGCAGGAGATTGGTGGGTGGGGCAGACAGTTAGGGTGGAGTATGTAATAGGATTGGCTGTATTCCTCTACTACAGACTTCTCCATCGAGTTCCCTTAGGCTTGTAAGGGCTCTCTGGTGTTACTAGACACAGGTATTGTGTTATTTATTCCTTATTGGTTTCCTTAAGCCCTGCCCGCACCTTTGTAAATAGTCTTTTTGTTAACTTCTCTCAGGTTAGCCCGTTTGAATGAGCCCACTGGATCCTGCTGGGACCCTGACTGGTTGCCCAAGTCACCCAGATGACAACATTAGTTATAATCTAGACATCATAGGGAATAGGTATAATACCTTTCCTCACTCATCGTAAGCATATGACCAACACTCCTTTAACAAAAGACAGGTCAATGAGAGAAAAGCATAACCAATTTATTTAATCAAAGTTTTACATGACATGGAAGCCTTCAGAAATGAAGACCCAGCGATGCAGGGAAAATGATCTGTTTTAATGCTTAGGTTCCATGAAGATGGACAGCTACATAGAAGTGTGATTGGACAAAAGGGTGTGATCTAATGGTAATAGGCTGAGGGGGGAACCCCAGCAAGGCCTGTCTGGTCAGCTTCCTCTTGGTCTCTCTGTGTAGCATTTCTTCCTCCTGGGTATGGGGCAAGATCCCTCTGGAACAAAGGTATTCGGGGAGAAGGGAGAGAGTGACCTTTGTAGATTTTATGGCTTGCTTTGGGGAAGAGGGTCTCCAGTTTCCCTCACCTGCCTTACAGAAGAGGAATTCTGGTTTCTAGTATCCACTCTGGGGAAGAAAGAGGTGTGAGAGACAGGAGGGCCACAGAAGATCAGAGAGAACTCGCCTTTGAGGCCCATCCAATGTCCTTTTGAGGCAGCCAAGTATAAAGGGGACCCCGGAGAAACTCTGACCAGCCTGTGCAATGGGAGGAATGTCCACTGGGCCAGAGCCCCTGGGGAAGTTTGCATCATTTGCAGTGGGGAGGAGCCTGGCCTCTGTTGTTCTGGGGTGGAACCTGAGATTCAATCTGTGAGGCAGGAAGCCAGCTAGCAGAACTTTTGCTTTGCTGAGAGTCCCTGTTTCCCTTTTCTTCCTTTTTGCCCAGTAAATTCCATTTTTCTCACCCTTCAAAGTGTCTGTGAGCCCAATCTCTCATGGTCATGTGACAAAGACCCCATTTTACCTGAGCTAAGGAGAAAGTCTTACAACACTTTAAAGTTCATACCATGCCAGAGCACCAGACTTTGGGGAATCATGTTCTGAGCCCCAACAACATCATAGCCTGCCTCCCTTGCATTATTTCAGTAAACCTCCTCTTCTAGGCCAGCCTACCTCTGAATTAGAATCAGCTGGAGCAGGAGTCAGCAAACTACAGCTTGCAGGCCCAATCCAGCCTGATGCCTGTTTGTGTAAATGGAGCTTTATTGGAAGGCAGCCATAACCATTTGTTTACTTACTGTCTATGGCCGCTCTTGAGCTACAGCAGGAGGCAAGGAGTTGCAACAGAAACTGTGTGGCCTGCAAAGTCTAAAACATTGGCTATTTGACCCGTTATAGAAAAGATTTGCCAACTCCTCATTTTGAGGAAAACCATAACATGTGAACTCCATCATTTTCATCCAGGGACTCCTGGGCCAGATGCTGGGGGCCCTTGTGAGTGGTCCATGACAGTGACCTGGGAGGTTTTAAACCCCGGGCCTAGCTGAGTGCTCTTGGGACATCGTGTTGCTGTGCTGGCTGCTGCAGTAACCTGGGAAACACTCAGTCTGTCAGTGTGACCAAGCAGGACTGGAAGCATTTGTGTTTAAATGTGTTGATAATTTATGATTTCAGAATCGAGTATTTCCTAAAGAGATCGACTCTCCTGAGTATTTTAGCATTTTACTATAGAAGTTATTTCGTCTATGTCTGTCTCCCCCACCTGACCGTGAGTGCTTCTCGGGAGAGCCTGCACAGGTTGCATGCCCATGCAGCTGGCCCTGCTCTGTGGGCTCCTGAAAAAAGAGGCAGCCTGTGGGAAACCAGGGAGGCCTCCTTCACTCCAGAGGGACTGTGTGGTGCTCAGCCCCTACAAGGGTGGTACAGACTGTGAGGATGTGAGACTGTGGGCTCTACAGGGATTCTTCAGTGGTGTGTGTCTAATAATGCCTAAACTGAATAACCCTTGATCACTCCAAAGTGCTCGCATTGATCTCAGACCCCCGTGTGAGAATGGATTCCTCTTCCCCAAACCCAGACTGTCTGCTTCACACAGACTAACCTTGTTCCCCACGACTTCCATGTTTTCTGTGTAACCCCGAGTCACCTAGGCCACCCCATCTAGGGGCAACAAACCACATTTGTACGAAAGCATCTCATGGCTGGCCTGTCTAGATGTTTCTTTTTTGGGTGCAGACAGTTCCTACCACAGTACCTGACTGGAGAACACTGTGTATATGTGTATTTACCAGTGCCTGGCACAGAGTGGCTAAAGCTCAATAAATATTGTTTGACCAAATGGTAATCAACATCAAATTCAGAGAAGGAGAAAAGAAATAAGGGTGTGGGAGGCATTAACTGGGAAGATGTATGACGAACGTTCTCCAGCTTTCTTACTAGAGTCTCTGCCTGCTCAGCCTGTACAGAACAAGAAGAGCTGTTAAGAGAAGGCTGTTCTTCCAGAAGGTGCCCCTCAGGGGAGACTGGCGACATGATTCGTGGGCCCAGTATAAAATGAAATGCAGGGCCTCTTGTTCAAAAATTATTAAGAATTTTGACTGACTCTAGGCACGCTGCCTGTGAGTTAGCCCTGCTCTGCAAGGAGCAGTAATAAAAAAATAATAAAATTACTAAGAATTTCCAGACAGCATCAGCAGAGCATTAAACTGAGCATGGCCTCCTAAGACTGCACATATCTTGCTCCCAGAACCCTCCCCTGCCTACTTCCTCACCGTAAAAAGGGGTTTAGGGGGCTGGGCACGGTGGCTCACGCCTGTAATACCAGCACTTTGGGAGGCCGAAGCAGGTGGATCACGAAGTCAGGAGATCGAGACCATCCTGGCTGACATGGTGAAACCCTGTCTCTACTAAAAATATAAAAAATTAGCCGGGTGTGGTGGCAGGCACCTGTAGTCCCAGCTACTCGGGAGCCTGAGGCAGGAGAATGGCGTGAACCCAGGGGGCGGAGCTTGCAGTGAGCTGAGATCACACCACTGCACTCCAGCCTGGGTGACAGAGCGAGACTCCGTCTCAAAAAAAAGGGTTTAGGGGCCCATTCTCACTACACTGCAGGAACCCTATGCTATGACACCCAAAGCCTTTCCTGGCGCTAGACATTGACCCCACCAGCTCCTGGAGCTCTCCCTTTCCCCAGCCCTTCCCCAGCATGCACGAGCCCTCCCCACCCCTGGGAATTGCAGCGAACCTCCTGGACATCTCCTGGTGCTGACAAATGTAGGTAGGGAGTTCTGAGCTCTAATAAGGATTTCCTGACTAGTGCCCCCCTTTTTACTGGAGGGGCTCCCATTTTTGCTTCCTCCAGACCACTGCATTCCCCCAACCCTTCATCCACCCATCCTTGCTGCAAAAGGGGGCTGAGCAGGTCATCCTTAACCACTCTGTTCATGGCAGCACCTCGAAACCTCTGCTAACAGGTGGTGGCTGCCTCACAGTGCTAGAAAGCCACCCTCCCCAGCCCTGGTGTTGACAGTTCTGGGGTCCTCGCTCTGCCTGTACAGGGTCCCAGCAGCCAAGGGCCGTGGTCCCATCTTCCTGCACTGAGGAAGATAAACAAATGCTCAGAACAAAGACGAGTCCGCAGCATTATGGTGCTTTGTTTAGAGAGGCACATATTTTTGAAGCTCTAAGCTTTGGGAGACTGTCATTGATAAGGGAGTTTCTCTTCCTAGTGGAGCACAGCCTCAAAGAAAATAAACTGCAGCTAAGGGAGAGCCCAATGGGGTCAAATGGAGTTTGCCTTTGATCATAAATGCAGAGTCAGACAGTCCCCGGGGCCTTTGCATTCTCCTGCTTAACCTGGGAGCTGGGCTGTCGCAGGCCTCATTTGTCTCCCTGTGACTGATGTGGCCTTAATGACAGCAGCTCCCAAAGAGCCCCCTGCTGCCTGTATGCACATGTGTGTGTTTTGCCAACAGCTAAAGCAGCCTTGCTTCCTCTCTGATACTGTGTCCTTCTCCTCCCACCCAGTTCCTACTTCCTTACACACAACCTATATTTTCTGTCTCTTGCAGGGTCCACGGTGGCATATAGATCTCCAGCCTTGGGCGGGCCCTGCTCAGTCCCTGGATGAAGAAGCCTGGAGGTTCCTGAGATATATCAGCACCGCCCAGGTTGTGTTTCAGGCTCAAACGAGTTAGAGAAGAATGCAAAAGATCCTGATTGCCTCTTTCAAAAGAAGGAGGTGGGGAGGTTCTCAGCAACTCCTGATGAGGACTTGATGGGGAAGTGTGTTCAGAGGCATTGTTGCTTAAACTCATCCACTCACTTGGAGGCAGATAAGATGCGTTCCATTTGCTAGGGCATGTTCCTTCCTCCAAGAGTGTCACCAACCTGAAATGTTTAAATGATTCATCCCAAAGTGTTTTAAAGATCCACTTTAGAAAATTGCTTTGGAAAACCATTTGAAATGACAGATTGGTCCCGGTGAGTAGGCAGTCGAGTATGTCACAAAACAAAACCATCATCTAGAGGTTCAAGCACCATTTTGTATTTGGAGGAACTTGCCTTTCCACTCTTCTGCCGCAGATGCTTGGCAGCCAGGGACGTGCTAGGCAAGAGAGCAGAGGAGGCTTTGCAGGCAGTGTGCTGAGGAGTTAATGAATCCAAAGGCCCTCTATCTCAGAGCACTTTAAATCATTACTGAGCACAGGCCTTTATTAGTGACTTAACACATTGTGGCAGCTCCTGCCCAGGTCCAGGCTGAGCCAGTGCCCCGAGCAGGCAAAGAGACTGTCCATTAAGGAGAGTCTATGGCTCTTGACATGTTAATCAAGAGGTTCCGTTCTCAAGTTGCCTGATCCCAGGGGGAAAGAGAGACAGAAAAGGAAATCAAGGCCCAAGGGAAATTTAGCCCTCAACTGAGAGGTGCTAGCAAATTAGGAGCTCAGACTGCCTGGGAGCTGCAGAGCGGCTCACTCAGGAAGCTGCACAGTGGAGCTGGTGCTGTACGCCGGATCCTGGATTTTTAAAATCTCCCTCAAGCCCACTCTTGACATCCATGTTCTCCTCCCCAGCCTCTCTGGCAGCAAAGCACTTTTCCTCCAGAGGAGAGAATATATTTCTAGATCTTTAGGAGGTTAGTTAGTTCAAGGGTAAAAGAAAGTCTCATTTCTCATATAAAGCAATGAGACAAACATAGGAATTTTAGTATTTATCACCCAGACATGGACATAAAAGCTGGTTGAATTAATCATGAGTGATGGGATGTTGAATTCGTCCCTGTGCTTCTCATGATTTTATCTTATTTTGCTGCTGCAAATTAATTTGATGGACTTAGGCAGACTTAATTAAAATACTGAAATTTTAGTTTTGTAGTTTGATTTTACGTGAATGGTAAGAATCTGGACCTCTTAACTGTGATTTTCAAAAGCCCTTAAAGGCTCCAGAAGAAAATAAGAGGTGTTAATTTTATGAATTGAATTTGAGAACTATGGACTTCACTCACCAAAATAAATTTACATAACACAAGCTACCAAATTCCATTCTATATGTATTTCATGTTAATGTTCCATAACTTATAAAAGGCCTGTTTGCTTAGAAGAAGCTATTGAGGCATGAAATGGTCATTTTTAGATCCCTCTTGGATTTTTCCCAGAAACTACGGACTGAGAGGAGAAAAAATCTTTTTTTTTTCTTTCTTTTTCTTTCTTTTTTTTTTTTTTTTTAAAGACAGAGTCTTGCTCTGTCGCCCAGGCTGGAGTGCAGTGGCACAATCTCAGCTCACTGCAACCTCTGCCTCCCAGGTTCAAGTGATTCTCCTGCCTCAGCCTCCCAAGTAGCTGGGATTACACCACGCCTGACTAATTTTTGTATTTTTAGTAGAGACAGAATTTCACCATGTTGGCCAGGCTGGTTTTGAACTCCTGACCTCAGGAGATCCACCCACCCCAGCCTCCCAAGGTGCTGTGATTACAGATGTGAGCCACTGTGCGTGGACACACTTTTTTTTTTTAAAGGCATCCCCCGTAGTCTGATCTTATAAACCTGGGTACTTTACGTTGCTTCTCTGGCTCTCCTTGTTCTGATCCTGAAATGGAAGAGATTGTATCAAAATTATTTCTAAGGTCCCTCCCAGTTCTGTGAGCTTGTACTGTGCACAGAGTAGTATAGAATGGTTATTAACCAGGTATTTTTGAGTGCCTACAAGGTGCCAGGAATTGTTCTGGGCCCTGAGGTTATAGTCTCTGCCCTTAAGGATCTAACCAACTTGTTGTGAAGGTGGATAACTGGATGTATAATTATTATTCAGCTTGATGAGCAATAATAGAGAATTTGTTGTTGAAGCTCACTAGAAGGATTTTTGTCCTCCAGAAGAATGATGTAAAGTTCCCAACCTCACAATGGTTTTTAATGCGGGGCCATGTTAGCCAGATGAGGTTCTGTGCTTTGATGTACTTCCGGGTTACTAGACGACCAGCAGATGGGAGTCACCAGAGATGACACTAAATGGTTCTTAATCAGAATCCTTTACTAACCAATGCTCCCTATCCCTCTGTATGTAATGCAAAGCTTTATGGTTGCTTTTGTGGCTTATGCCTCATTTAGAACGCATCTTGACAATGAAAGCCTACAAAACTAGCAGAATATTACAGTCACTGTTACCTAAAAACTTCAGTTAGCAGAAGTGAGTCATCATGGGCAAGGAAAAAAAAAAAGCTCTGAAGGTACTAATGCGAATTCCACCCCCATCCTCTTATGCTGCTTTTTTAACATTAAGAAATATGCTTCCCTCAAATCTGTGCTCAAGCTTGTACAGCAAGGCTGGCATTTGGTATGTGCATCGTTGATGTATCCATTCCTCAATCCAGAGGGTATTTGTTGAACACCTGCTTTATGGCTGGCACTGTGCTGGGCCTTGGGATATTAAGCCACAATCAAACACCCCCCACACTGGTAAATAGTTAGGGCGCAAGAGAGTTGTGTGTTCTCTAACAGGGGGCAGACAGATGGGTGGGGAAAGCTTCCTAGGCCGGGGGAGCCCAGGAGCAGAGGCATAGGGCTTAGGACAGCATGGCATGAGACAGCAATGGGCGTGGCACCTCTAGACTTGTGCATTGTGGTCCTGGAGGCATGGTTGGGGCCATGCATTTTTAAATGAAATTCCAGAGGATATGGTGTTTGCGTAGAGTATGCAGAACTTCAAGCTCAGTTTAATTAGGTACTATTTGTTTTTGTTTTTGTTTTCAATATGAAAGACCGTGATACATGGCAGAGTTCTGCAGTCCACGGTACACTGTCTGCTGCTAACAAGAAATAGTTAAATCATAAATACAGTGCTCTGTTCTAAGGGAAGTCTCCAGATTCAGCTTTTCATGGCATCCCCCAAACCATATGCCTCCAGGAAGCATGCCTTGCAGTATAAAATTAATCTAAGCAACAGTGGCTGTTTTTAAAAAGAAAAAATAAAATATGGTTTAAAGCCTGTTTTTCTGTCTATCGTCTATCTATCTATCTATCTATCTATCTATCTATCTATCTATCTATCTATCTATCTACCTACCTACCTACCTTTCTATCCACCTATCCATCTATCCATCCATCTCTACCTCTTTACCTAGTTGTCTACCCATCTATCAATTTGTAAGAATAACCTAAGAATAAGAACCCATGCTCTGGATATTCAGAATATAACTTTACAACAATACAATAGTATCTGTTGTATTTACTGCTACACACACACACACACACACACACCCCGAGATGAAAATAATAAGCACAAAATTCTGCCCGTGAGCCTTTCAAAAATAATGGTACTATATAACCACACAGCATGGAGTTGATCGTTCTGTAAACATGCAGAAGATCATCGAAGTGATTCTGAAGTTCCAAAATTTTAAGAGTTTCCTTTGCCAGATTCTACTTATGGGTTGGCAGAAATACCAGTCAAGCTTTTGGGATACAAAATGAAATGAAAATAAATTAGATCCCTTTAAGTTAAATAATTAAAAAACATTTCACAAAATATTTTTTCCTAGAGTCTGTTTTCCTTTGTCTAGGCCTAATTTGCTTTATTTGGCTAAAATTACAAGGGGAATTAGAGAGACAGAGAACATAATTAGTTGAGCTGGAAGTTAGCTAGAAGTTACTGCCCTCACTTATTTTGCTTACAAGAGAGTTTATTGAAGCCCTGGCCATAAATCCTAACTAGAAAGGGTGAAAAATCAATACTTAATTAATTTTTAGGAGCAGAAGTTTATGGAGGATTTTCAGTTGTTTACAAAAGCTAATGTCTGTTAATGAGATGGTTAACAAATGGTTAAAATTGAATAATTCCTGTGTTTTATTTCTTTTCTTTCTTTCTTTTTTTTTTTTTTTTTTTTTTTGAGGTGGAGTCTTGCTCTGTTGCCCAGGCTGAAGTGCACTGGCACAATCTCGGCTCACTGCAACCTCTGCCTCCTGGTTCAAGCAATTCTGCTGCCTCAGCCTCCCGAGTAGCTGGGATTACAGGTGCACACCAGTATGTCTGGTTAACTTTTGTATTTTTTTTTAGTAAAGATAGGGTTTCACCATGCTGGCCAGGCTGGTCTCAAACTCCTGACCTTGTGATCCATCCGCCTCAGCCTCCCAAAGTACTGGGAATACAGGTGTGAGCCACCGCTCCTGGCCCTTGTGTTTTATTTCTGAGCTAAGAAAGGAAGAGGGGATGTTATCAGGGGGAGTGAATGAAAAAGAATGTCTTGTCAATGGAGATATATCTGTCCAAGATGAAATCTGTAGAAGAAGAAGAAATGCTTAAAGTAGACAAAGTGTCATCTTTAATAAAATAAAACCCTAGTTCCTGACTTTAGCAAAGGAGGAGCAGCTGGATCTGAAAGCTCTGACTCTGGATCTTCCATGCCTACCTGACTTTTGGAGGCCTCTGGCTAACTGTCAGTGCCAACCCCTTCAGTCCGTTGTTAGGGGTGGGGGTCAGAGGTGCTGCTGTTTTCAGTTTGAAGTTCTGGCCCAAGCGTAGCCTCTTTTAATTTGTTAAGGCAGAGATGCGACTCGCTGGAAACTTTCACTGGGGCTTTACAAAAGGCCTCCAGTAAACTCAAAAGGTCATCTGCATAAAAATATCCCAGGGGGAGCTTATTAAAATGCATGTTCTCAGGTATCAACCTCAAAGATTGTGAGTTTGTAGATCTGGAGGGAGGCACAGGAATCTGCATTTTAAGTACCTCCCCGGTGATTCTGATGTAGGCGGACCGCACATTGAGAAACACTGTGGGAAAGGTCAGAGCTAGGTTTGGATGGCATTAGGAGGGAACGAGAAGCAAGGACCTACAAACATCACATCTTCATCTGTCATTATGGAGACATGTACACAAAGAACAATAGCAAATGGGGATCATCATGCCACTCTAATAAAAATATCCCAGGAGACTTCCCTCAAGCAGATGGCTCAGGCTTATAAGATCCAGGCATGCTTTGGGGGCACACACAGCTGCCCTGGACTAACTAGTTTCCCACTGGAGGTGGGGCTCAGGAAGGCACCCATGTTTAAGGCACAGTAATCTGCCCACTAGCAGAACAGGGTCCAATGAACACACTGAGTTCTGACTAACTAGATTAGCAAGTTCTCTTCCCTTAGGTGAGTGGGTGGGGAATAGAAGGTGGGCAGGCAGAGACATAATTTCCATTTATCTGTGGGAGAATAGTAGGAGATGAATTATCAAATTAACATGTTGACGCACCCAGTTAATAAATGTATTCTGTAGCTGTTGCTTGAGAAAAGATTCAATTCCATTTTCTCCAATTATTTTGTTCTTTAAACAGTTGTTGAAGATCGAGAAGTAGAAAAATACTGGATTCAGGGAAAAGATATATAGGGGTTTCACTTTTTCAGCTTTCCTCTGAGATGTCCAAATCCAAGCAGAAGACACATTCACTGATAAATGGTGCGGGATGATTTTGCCAGGCTGGCCAGAGGGGATAGCAAGAGTAATGCAGATGCCGTGTTAGTTGAATAGGCTCCACCTAATATGCTCTTCTTAGATTAAAATTTTGGAAAATCAGTTAAAGGATTGGCCAAATCTAGAATATCTTTTTTTTCTTTTCTTTTTTTTTAGACAGGATCTGGTCTCGCTCTGTTGCCCAGGCTGGAGTGCAGAGGCACAATCATGGCTCACTGCAGCCTCAACCTCCCAGGCTCAATTAATCAACTCCCGTGAATAGCTGGGACTACAGGCGCATGCCACCATGCTCGGTTAATGTTTGTATTTTTTGTGGAGATGAAGTTTTGTCATGTTTCCCAGACTGGTCTTGAGCTCCTGGGTTCAAGCGATCCTCCTGCCTCGGCCTCCCAAACTGTTGGGATTATAGGCGTGAGCCACTGTGCCTGGCCCTAGAATATCTTCTTAGGAAGAAAATTGCTTGCTGTTAATGTTTTCCAATGGATGAAAGCAATGAATCTCAAAACATTCTTTGCATCTGGAGCGGTCTCTGGTCTATGCTGTGACAGCAAAAGCTACTGCATTCATGAAGCATCATGATGACTATGAGAGTTTTAAGGGATTGGGGGAAAATACTGTTGCTCAGTGAGGTAAATATCTTGGCCACAGAACTTGTTTTCCTTATTTTCTTTGGTTTCAGCAGCCTCAGCTGTGCGAAATGTACTAGCCTCAAACACAAGTCAGAATCCCTTATGAAGTATATTTGCTTTGTGTGCAGTTGAAGTTAGAGACTTGCTTCTGCTTGACTCACACACGTTCCCTTTGGTTTTCTTATCTAATTTTGATGGATGAGTTAAGAAAAGTGCTTCTGTTAGCTCCGGAAGAGCCTCCTGCCTGGGGCTGTTGCCCTTCTCCCCCAGGAGGAAGCGCCTTCGAGCAGTGTATCACAAACAACACTGCCTTATCAGCAGGGACTGCCTGTTAACTTCACTTGACCCGTGGTCAGCTGTTTACCTTGGATAACACCTGCCACCTTTCTGGACCTTAGTGGCCCCACCTTATCTGCCTGAAATAAGGGATGACTAATCTTGGGAGTATGCGTCTGAGATCTATGCCTATGATTGTGCCTCACATCTTATAGTAGGCCCTCTGTGGGTAACGAAGACGTGTGTGCATGGTGAGCACTGTCCTCTGTGTCTGGTTGCATGGTGAGCAGTGTTCTCTGTGTCTGGAATGCCCTTCTTGGTCCAAGTCTCCCGGTTCATCCTCCAGGACTAGCTCCCCTCTACAAAGCCTTCCTGACACCACCGCTCCTCCCACATTTTGCTCTTGATTTGTTCTGCCCTGCACACCCTGTGCACATGGCTACAGCAGCTCTTAAATTCTTTCCAAACCTGCATATGTTCTCCATGAGATTACTTATTATCTGGTAATTGAAATTCCTCCAAACATTTTATAGCAGTCTTGTGGTTCCCTGGGGAGGGGAGTAGTTAGCATTGGAGGAGGATATAACTTTCCTATTATGGTTTTCAGGGATGGGGAAGCAGTAAGTCCCTACCTGCTATTTATCATCCAACATTTCAAATTATTCACATTGATTTCCAATCTTTACAGATTGCATGCAATCACATGAATACAGACAGCCTGGCTACTGACTCTAGTCCTACACACAAGCCCTGGTCAGTGTGTCTTGACGACAGGTTCAATTTAGCTCATCAAATCCGCAACAAGCAGTGCCGCCTCTACTCCTTAGGGTGAGTACATTTTTTACAGCAGAAGAAAACACAAACACTGCCTCAGGCAGCTCAGACCTTTTCAGCAACACAAAGTTGGAAAATGGTTGCAGTGTATAACAGGTGCCATGCTTTGCTTCCTGTCATTATTTCAGACAGATCTGTCTGTTGTGTAACTGAAGGCATGTACAGATCACCGAGATCTCCTTGGTCAGAGGCACTTTCCCTCCCATTCTGCTGGTAACAAGTTGGAAGCCCCCATTCTCAGCATGTGGATGATCCTCTGGGTGAAACCAGTGATTTCCAGCTAGACTAAGAGGATCCTTAGTATAAGGAGAGAAGAATATTACTGTGTGCCGGAAAAAAAAAAAAATAGAGAGAGAGAGTATGTTAGATTTTTTTTTTTTCCTTGAAAGGGGATCTCACTCTGTCACCCAGGCTGGAGTGCAGTGGCACGATCACGGCTCACTGCAACCCCTGACTCCAAGGCTCAAGTCATCCTCCCACTGTAGTCTCCCAAGTAGCTGGGACCACAGGCACACACCCACCACACCCGGCTAATTTTTTGTATTTTTGGTAGAGACAGGGTTTTGCCATGCTGCCCAGGTTGGTCTTGAACTCCTGAGCTCAAGCGATCCACCTGCCTCGGCCTCCCAAAGTGCTGAGATTACAGGTGTGAGCTGCTGCATCTGGCCATATGTTAGAAATTTTATGCACAGTTATGATGTATAAACCAATACCAATCATGGCTATTGTTAGATTTGTATGTTTTATACCAATGATAAATCTGTATCTAGTTATATTTTTAAAAGGAACAAAAGGGAACTCTTATAAAAAACTATGTCATTTTGTCAAAACTGAGAAAAATTTATATCCAGTTATTCAGGTTGAAAATGACCTAGATGTACAAATGGATTAAGTGAGCTTTTTTGTAAAAGGATGGCTACAAAGTAATGGGACTATTTCACCAAATATACCAGTACTTACATAAAAACAGTTCCGAACTTACAAATGATATATGGCTCAAGAAAAAGAAGACAGGAGGAAATTATTGTTGTCGGGAACATCCTGTTCCATAGACTCTTTGTAAGGGCAATGTAGATTCTTAGGCTAGACCACTGAAGTCTTTAAGTCTTTTATAAACAGCACTGGGGACCCTAATGTGACATTGATTGTCTCCATGTCACATGCTTCCTCCTCACCTGTAGGTTTCATCACTTCTAGAGTCTACATTCAGGCCCAGGTACGACAACTACGAGCTAGAATCCTGGGTGGTCAGGGTTAGGGGCAGACATCTGGGCGATGTGGAGACCTACCCAAAGATTCCAATGTAGAGAGAATCATCATCACTGTCAAACTATAACAAACAAGAATTACCAGTCATTGTGGATTTTATTCTTTAAAAAACAAAATAAGAGTTTAAAGATAGGGAAACATTCTCATATGGGTTAAATGAAGAGCAATGGTGTATATTGGTGGAGCTTGGCACATACTAGGCACACAATACGTACTTGCCATGTAGAAGATCGCTGGAGAGGAGAGACTAGAGAGGAAAGCTGGTTATGCTGTGATGGAAGTGTGGAGGCTGTGGATTGGAAGATGAGATACTCAGCCAGTTGATGAGCAGAGCTCTCTTTCTGGAAGCCCACCAGCCCACCTTCAAGATTGGAGGGAGGATGGGAAGTTGTGACAGCAGAATTTATTTTATGTCACATTAAAAATGTCTGAAAGTGGGTCATAAAAAGTGGCATAGTACCACATGCAAGTTGCTCCTGTTTTCTTGCTCCAAATTGCCTCTGTATTTTACTTAATATTTTACGCCCTGGGATAATTTCATTTAAAGGGATAACTGAGTAAAATAAAACTTAGAAAGGAGTTTTGGGGGAAAGTTTCTAAATTCCTTTTTGCTTTCCTTATACTTCAGAGCTGTTGGATAAGATAGCTCTGCAGGAAAAGTTCAGATTATTACATGTAAAAAGGTAGTTTCCTATTTTAAAATATTTTTATTGACACACAATATTTGTACAAATTAATGGGGTACATGTGATATTTTGTTACAGGCATAGCATGCGTAGTAATCAAGTCAGGGCCTTTAGAGTATCCATCAGCTCGAGCATTGATCATGTCTATGTTTTGGGAGCATTTCCAGTCCTCTCTTCTAGCTATTTTGAAATATAAAATGTATGGTTGTTAACTGTAGTCACCCTACTCTGCTTTCAAATATTGGAACTTATTCCTTCTGAGGGAGGAAAATAGGCTCTGGAGGCAGGGAACATAAGGCCAATTCACACTTCAGCTATGACAGGGCATTTCCTCTCCGCAGGGCATATGCCCAGTAAATGACTTTGTAACTTTACTTCGTCCTCTTCATTTACATAGGGTGTACACAAGTAACCAATGTAAACCTCTAGAGGGTATTTAAACCCTCAAAAATTCTGCAACAGGGCCCTTGAACCCCTATACTCCGGCCTGTTCCCACACTGTGGAGTGTACTTTCATTTTCAATAAACCTCTGCTTTTGTTGCTTCATTCTTTCCTTGCTTTGTTTGTGCATTTTGTCCAATTCTTTGTTAAAGGTGCCAAGAACCTGGACGCCCCTGCACTGGTAACACTTCTATCTAACTGTATGTTTGCACCCGTTACACAACCTCTCTTCACTTCCCCTCAGACACCCTTCCCAGCCTCTGATAACCATCATTCTACTCTCTCTACCTCCATGAGGTCAACTTTTTAGCTCCAGCATATGAGTGAGAAGATGCAATATTTGTCTCTCTGCGTCTGACTTGTTTCATTTAACATGCTGACCTCCAGTGCCAAACATGTTGCTGCAAATGACAGGATTTTATTCTTTTTTTTAATGGCCAAATAGTATTCCATTGTGTATACACGCCACATTTTCTTTATCTATTTATCACTAATGGACACTTAGCTTGACTCCATATCTGTTATTGTGAATAGTGCTGCAATAAACATGGGGGTGCAGGCATCCCTTTGATATACTGCTTTCCCTTCCTTTGGAATATACCCAGAAGTAGGATTGCTGGATTGTATGGTAGTCCTATTTTCAGTCTTTTGAAAAATCTCCATACTGTCTTCCATAATGGCTATACTGATTTACATCCCCATAATCAGTGTGTAAAAGTTCCCTTTTCTCCAAATTCCTTGCCAGTATCTGTTATTTTTTGTCTTTTTAATAATAGCCATTCTAACTGCGATAAGATAATATCTCATTTTGGTTTTGATGTACATTTTCCTGATGATTAGTGAGGCTGAGCAGTTTTTCACATATTTATTCAAAAGAAAAATAGACAAATGGGACTGTATGAAACCAAAAAGCTTCTGCACAGCAAAAGAAACTATCAACAGAGTGAAGAGACAACCTGTTCAATGGGAGAAAATATTTGCAAACTATTTATCCATCAAGTGACTAATATCCAGAATATACAAGGAACTCAAACAACTCAATTGCAAAACAAACAAAAAAAATAATTCTATGAAAAAGTGGGCAAAGGACATGAACAAACATCTCTCAAAAGAAGTTTCTTATTTTCATTTAAATATTTACCATTGAAAATTAACTTTGGGGCCGGGCACAGTGGCTCACGCCTGTAATCCCAGCAGTTTTTGAGGCTGAGGCAGGCAGATCACTTGAGGTCAGGAGTTCGAGACCAGCCTGGCCAACATGGTGAAACCCCGTTTCTACTAAAAATATGAAAATTAGCCAGGTATGGTGGTGCACGCCTCTTGTCCCAGCTACTCAGGATGTTGAGGCTGGAGAATCACTTGAACCCAGGAGGCAGAGGTTGCAGTGAGCCGAGATTGTGCCCTACTACACTCCAGCCTGGGTGACAGAGCAAGACTCCATCTAAAAAAAAAAAAAAGAAAAAAGAAAAGAAAATCAACTGTGTAAAGAGCATCTGAATTCCACTGGGAAAAGAAATGACTAGATGACAATGGCCAATATTTTCCTAAAAACATGAAAGCACTTACTTAATTGAAAACTGAAACTAAAGAAAATATTTCTGATGCCTAAAAAAAGATGCTTTGGGTTGTGAGTAATTATGTTGATTGCACTTACTAAGGCTCCAGGACCCAGACAAGTATGCCCCTGTTCAGGTTGAATTGCTTGCCTGGGGCACAAGTAGATAACTGGCTGACAATACCTCAACTGATACTGAGGGAAGAGTGAGACCCAGACCAGAATTGGTGGTCCTGAAATTAGGAGTGAGAACAGGGAAGGTGGCCCCGGGTTCCCAGCACCAGGGAGTGTCAGAACAGTTTTGAGCTAGGTAGGGAGGGCAGGTGGTAAGTGAATTGTGTGGCCCTCTATATAGGCAGGACGTGCTCCTAGTCCCAGGGCCGCAGCAGCAACAAGACCGTGCCACTGCTATACCCAGTAATTCCCAGGCAAACCAAAGACAATGGATGCAGCTGCAGCTGGGAGTAACTTCCTGGCAGGAGGGCAAGGAGGGCTCCAAGGACACAGGGAGTCAGAAGACAGAGGCTGATGGCCCCACTTTCTAATCTGTCTCATCTCCTTTCCTCCACCCCTAAGAACTGAAGCAGATATCACCTCCATCTTCTCTTTGATGGCTGAAGTTTATTTACTAGGAGTCAAAGCTTTTTATTCCACAGTTAGTGGAAAAGGCATTTGTCTGTGAGCGTGCACTCTATGTCATGTTCAGTTGAAAATGAAAATTAGATCCTTTTCAGTTTTGAAATGAGGTAGACTAGACCAATTAAGATGGGGAAGACACTGAAAAGAAAGGTGCAGATTATGGAGAAAGGGATAGAGAAGAGAAAAAAGGAGAGCCTGTGGGTTCGGATGACAATATCATCTACATAATGACTTTAGACATTATGTAGGCCTGGCCTGCAAGTCTTCTTGTGTCTGGAGTGGGGAAGGGTGATGGTGGGGCAGTGGAGGGGAGGGTGGGGATGAGAGTGGTAGATAAAGTGAAAGGGGAAAATCACCTTTTCTCCTTTTTATGTCAAAGATTGTATTTTAGGGGTAGGCATGG